TTTACTTTCTGGTTGAAGCATAGCGGCACTCTCTGAATGAGCTACTACTCCGTATGACAAGCTGCTTTTAATCCACCCATCACCAGCTTTCACCAGCTCTGATTGCTAGTGAACCAATAGCATCCCTATGCATCTTATAGAAAACAGTGGCTGCATGTGTGGAAAGAGTGGAACTTTCATGGCTTCTTGGACTAGAAGATGTACAGCAGACCAATAAGCAAGGCCAATTTCAGTAGATCATAATAGGTGCATGCCATGTGCATAACAAGCGAGAGATACCTTACAGGAGAACTGTGAGTTGAGAATATGGTGGATATACAGTGTATCCACGATGTCTTTTAAAATATCTAAAAGTCTAGCACATTTCAAGCATGAGTAACGGTATTTTATGTATAGATTCTGAAGACATATTTCTTAATCATATATCCATCATATCCAAGCATGGATATACCATATCTAAGCATGTATATACCATAGATATACAGTAGCTACTACGTGGCAATAGTGTGGATGTATGATGTAAGCCATGGATTGGTTTCTAGAGATATATGGCTCAGCCATTCAGTAACATTCCTCAAAGCTACCACCATGGATCCATACTAGATCTACCAGAAATATTAAAAGTTTCCCTATTTCCACGGAGTATTGAAAAGTTATACATGATCCATCATATCTTCAACTCATGGTTCTCCCGCTAGGTACTAGTGGAATTTATCATTAGAGAAGGCAGGGTTAATCGATCCAATGACAATCTATAGATAGATAGGCAGCATTGAACAATAGGGAGCATGATAAAATAACGCAAACATCTACATACATCCCACAGGAAACATACAGCATGAAATGCAAGCTGAATCCTACAGCTCAGATATGGAATTGCATCAGTCCATTTCTTTCCTTACGACGCCAACATTAAACGAAATGAAAAAGGTCTAGGTTCATGCATGTAGCCGGTTTGTCGACTTGAATCGACTTGAATCGACTTCCATTCTTCTCCCACTACCCAGGCTATCATCTCTCCATATCTATTTCCTCGAACTTCTCTACTTCTCACCTTTCTCGTCGCTAGTAGCTATGACTATGAGACTCTGTAATGATTGCTGGGTAGGGAATCGAACAATGACAGGAGCTCCCGTATAGATCCTTCAGTCAAATATTAGGGCTTTGCGCAAGATTGAGTGGTTGATAATGTCATTCGTCCCCCCCAACTTTAGTCGAGGTAAGCTCGCCAATGGTCATAAGCCCAAGGGCAGTATCCAGAGGGCGTTGTCCGTAGGTCTTCCGTCCAGTCTTACCAACTGGTAACAATCTAACTCTCAGGGTGGAAACGAAGCAAACGAACTACTGATGGCACTGCAGGCAATAGATAGAGGTTGCTCATGAACCCCACCTCATTTGTCTAAGTCTCCAAAGGGGCCGGGAATCATTGATGAACCACCAATGATTCTCCAGCTTGATACAAAAATGAAACTGAGCAATTGCCCTTGGTTCTTGTCATGGTCATGGTCATTGTCTCCTACACATCGTTTCGGATTGGTCATCATATGTTTTGCTTTTGTTCTGTGATTTTGGAAGAAAAGCAAATACCGGAGAAAAGCTAGCTCCGAGACTGTGCTACAGGAAAAATGGCCAGAACCTTTCACCACATTGTGTGCTGTCCAATGGTGATGTGTCAGTCATGCTCTGCTTAAGGTATGTTTATCAAGTGGCAAAGTCCATCTCCTTTATGCCAGCCGGCTTTTCGGATGCAACTGGAAGCATAGGTACTGGAGGGTGGAGAGCACCCAGCAACAAGTGCAGAGAAGAGCCTTGTCGAGGCTCGTGTTCCCAGACACTCCTACATATATGGTCCAATGGTTCAACAGAATCTGACACAAACATATGTGCATCCCTAGACGCCCTGCAGCCTGCAATCATGGCATGCACTCAAAGGCCCGGGAGCTGAACCTAGCAATCAAACCTTTGTCACTATTGATCACTGGAGATGGATTACCTGTTCTATTATGCCATTGTTTGATCTCTCTATCCATCTAGATGGGACTCAGGCACAAACATCTCAGGATTGATGTTGACAGGGGCCAATCCTCGCAGCTCTTTCTTGTAACACTATGAAAAACAAAAGTTCAAGGACAAGAATTATCTGCGGTGATTACTCGCCCAGACATGGTATCCAGATGACCTTTTCCTTTCCCCTCCTTAAGAGTGATAGTGATTAATGTTCAGGTAATGATTGCCTAGGATCGGCAACTAAGAAGTCTGGTAGGTCTATACTGATATACTCTGAGTGTTATCTAATATTCTGGAGCATGAGCAGGCAAGCTTTACTGACCTAATACTGTCACTATCACCCTGTTCATAAATTCGTCATCCTCCCTTCACCTTGTATGTTGGCCAATGAACTAATGATGAAGCTCAAATTTGGCTATTCTGTTATGGAAGAGTGGCAATGTGACCCTTTTCACCCTCTCATAACTCCTTTCTTCATGTCATTATCTTGCTTTCGGCCTCCTGTCAGGTCTAATGTTGAATCCCTGCCCTTTTCTTAGCTCTAACTCCGCTACCATGCTTTTGCCGCTTATGTCTCTTCTGGCTTGGATATTTGTTCTTCTAATGCTGCAGCTTACTGTGCTTTGTTGCAAAGGAGCTTCTTTCTGCATACATGGTACCTGACAGGCTGGCTGTAGCCTACCCTCATTGCTGCTCAACCTCTCCTGTCCCCAGAGCACCTAGCGTTTCAACATATGTTCAGGATCCTAACTTCTGTCATTTCTTTTCCAGGGATTGCGGCAGCTGTGTTCGATTCTTTCCAGCTCCACCAGGGGTGACCTTGCATCGCTGTCGAATACAGTTGTTATGGCTTCTTACATAGTGTGGCAGTACTCTTCATGCGAGTCGTACTGGGTTGGGTCAGGGATACGCTTGAACCTTTCAGACATCTATTTAATTGTCGCCTCATTTCAACACCTCCAGGTGTTCTGCTGCAATTGATCCTACCCTCAATCCTCCTAGGTGCTTCCTTCTTCATGAATGCGAGCGATTTTGCTTGAACAATCTACCCACTTCAAGAACAGGTCTTTAATCTATCAACAGTTAGGGTGAGTCTCTCTAGTCCTATATCTTTCTCCTCTGTGCAGCCTCTTGTATAGTTATCTCTGTCATGATATGTCTTCAGGTACCAGGAAGACCTGGCATATTTCCACAATCGTTACGTATCTTCCCCTGCGAGCTACGCTTACACAGTGATCAATCAGCGAAGCTGCGACTGTTCATCGATATGAGCGACTTTGGTAGGCGTATCACTGAGGGTCATGACAACTATTTAGTGAATCAGCAGATTGCTCTACCCATCTCTTATGGTCATGCGGATAGCCATGACTTCAGCAGCAACGGAACGGCGCCACATCATTTCTCTCAACAAACGTTCGGTTCATACGCATCTCAAATTGGACCTGCCTACACTCAGGCCGGCTTACCTCCCGGCATCAATCAATCATCTACGCACTCCATTCCGGTCGCCCCAGAAAATGAAGTTCTGCAGCATCAACCCGCGCAATGCGCAGCGCAAGCGCGGTATTTGCAGTCGCCGAGGTATCTACCTCTTCGTGAAACGATCAGTGAGATAGAAATAGAGAGCCAGGAGTCTCTCAATGAGAACACGATGCTATCAGAGCCAATTATCCCTCCATTGGACGGTTTTCCTAGCGTGAGGGAATTTGATCAATTGATCAGATGGTAAGTTGTTTCATGCCAGCCGCTCAATTTATCCTCGTTTCCTTAGACCGAAGTACACCCACTTACGTGGCATAACAGCTACGTGGATGATCTGTCAATCAAGAAACAAGACAAGGCATTGATACATGCCAGAAGAGCACGGAACATCAGGACTGTCCTGATTGACCCAAAAGATACCGCCATTGAATCAGCCCAATTCAGGTACCGTTTCCCCGGTCCCGATTTCCTGGTCCCAATTTCCCTGCTCTTAGTTGTGTCGGTCTGGACCCTTTCTTGACTTTTTCCTCGAGATGAAAAAAGCTTGCTAAGATGTTCAAAATAGATTTTGGGTGAAAAAGATGTTCAAACTTCAAATTATTGGCATTGGATCCTCAAATGTGTGTACTTCGCCTGTCACTTCAAGAAGCTCTTTTGCACTAATCGTGTGACTTTGATTAAAGCGCGCAAAAATTATCTGTCACGAAGGAAAACCTGTAGCCATTCGAGAAAAGCTCTTCAAAATACTCACGAGGGCACATCAGCAATGTCAGCATGGCGGTAGGGATAAAACATCAGCACAGGTTCGGCAAATATATTCCTGGTAAGCAATCCTTATCCCTATTGCCGAGGACGCTGCTCAAGCTCGTACCATACCTGGAATGAATCTACTGTCCTCCTTGATGATCCTCCTAATCAGTCTTAAAGGGTCCCAAAAGAGCTCATTTCCCGATTTGTCAAGATATGTCCTACTTGCCAAGTTCGTCGGGGTGGTGCACGATTGACGCCCCCTAGTTCAAGTAGAAGTTCCCCTCGACTTGAGCTACCGAGTCGTTCACACAGACTTCCCTCCCCCCCAACTTCTAGGCGAGAGTCGATTCTCTATGGTCAACCCACTCTGGAGAGGTCGCAAGCAGACTATTTGAGTCAGTTGAATGGTCACGCTGGTTGGTCAGATAATTATCATGACTCAATTGGACGCTCCGGCCTCATTGCAGGTTCTGTGAGATCGTTGAGCGGAGCATCGGTGGCCAACCTGCCAAGTCCTTTGTCCATGACATTAGATGCCTTTCACGGCAGCGACTTGTCTCAGCTCAGTTATAGCTCGGCATATACGACTGCGAATGATCAGGCGAATCATCGAGACTTCTAGTCTCTCGAATTTGAATGGTCAAAGTATCCCATCATCCAGCAGTCTTAAGCATGGTCTGAGGACCGGGTAACTTCGCGCTATGTGAGATTCAGACCATGCAGGATAAATTCAAAGGTCTGCAGATCTGCCCATTTCCGTTCTCTTAGTATAATTTCTACATTATGCAAACGTGCTCGGATTCTCCATGGTTGTGCAAGTGAAAGAGGATAGATGCCCAGCACGGCCAAGTAGTGGCCCTGTTGCCCCAGGAAGATGCATGAGAATTTACAGCATGTGGGCCAACTACTGATGTTCTAAAGAGATTAATTCAAATGAAATCATGCTACTGACATAATGTTGGCCTGGAGATCTGACTATAAGATGACAAGAAAGAAGCTGTCAAGTGATATGCGACTGCATCTGGCTCCTGTCTGTGTCCCATGTCTCTCCATGCACGCTATGTATATTGTATCTGTGTTTACATTGAAGTATCCCACTAGGCTCTTAGGAGGAAAGCACTTGTCTTTTTTTATCTAAGTGAGACCATTCATGCAACCAGGATGTAAAATGATGCCTACAGGCAGCAGGTGCAAGTTAACAATGTAGCATTAGGAGGCTTGTTAACTTGTAAAATGGTGTATACAATACATTTTTGACCCTTGTGCTTTCAAAGGGCTTCTAATGATAAAAATACAGCATGATGAAGGGAAGAGAAGATCTGTTCAGAGTAATATGAACTGATTCTTTAATCAGAATTAGGGGGAAATCTTGCTTCTACCCTTCTGTATCGATGCCCATCTGGACCTTCCTGTCGCCACTTAGACTGGGAGCGAGAATTTTTTCCCTTTCATTATCCTGCTCCCCATTAGCCTAATGCTAGAATGATGCGAGGACAATCGACTTACTTGGTGTAATAGATATAGAAAAAGTCCGAATACAAGAGCGTTTGAACTATACCTGCCACAACAGGTACCGGTTGGAAGCGGTTCTCTGAGAAGTAACGATAAATCCAATTAGGTATGTAGAGAGCGCGGTACAGTCCCAGGGCAAAGAGGTAATGTGTGGTGATAGTATCTGCTTCTCCGGTGCGCTGGAGCATAAAAAGCTGTGGAAGAATAGCGACGGATTCAAGCCATATGGAGAAGGTCCAGAGTATCTTGGAAAATGTTAGAGGAAGTTCAGGTTTCTCTATTTTTGAGAAAGTAACAGACCTCCGAAATGCTGTAATCATGTGGGAATAGGATGGCCAAGATAGCACTGATCACTAATAGGTATTGGACTTTAAATGTGTCCAAATTGGGATCCCGGGTAGGTTTGTAATCGTTGAGCATTAGGTAGATAATGTAAGCCGATGAGCAGATGAACAGGACTTTAAAGGTGGTGTTATATAGGGAGTCGGTGAAAGTCCAGAATAAATCTAAGTCATAATGGTTAACAAAAGCTCTCTCATAGAATAGCACAAAAGACTCACCAAGATAGCGTGTAAGAAAGACCAGCAGATACAAAACTTGTGATTTGAAAGATAACCCAGAGCAACTCTACATTTTTGCGTCAGATGATATCAGCATAATTAACCGAAATGTCATACACTGGAAGACTTCATCTTATGCAGAAGGATGAAGATGGATATTAAATGAGAAAAATCGGCTATTATGTATATCAGTATGATAGAGCTGGTGAGGAGGTCTGACTACCGTCGCTCACCTGACAACCTGAAAATATTCATGCTGGTCAAATGAACTTCCTAGTAATAGCTAGTTGTTGAAGTTCCGCGAGTCTCAATAGTGATGGAAGTAGAAGTAGATATACAATCACATCCACAGCGAAGAGGATGTGGATAATCAGCACTCACAGAGGCAATCACAAGTTGTAGTGGGTAAAGTTGTCTGTGCAGATGTGATGGTATTATACAGTTTACAAAAGTGATATTAACACGAAGCCTTAAGCTGCGCGACAAGGCCCCACACCACGCGTTGCGTAGTTGTGCTACAATAGAGGTCGGTCCGATTGATATTCCATCCTACAGCCATAATTGGTTTATCTAACAGTACACCTACCTGCTGGCTATATGATATATCATTGCCAGAAAGTTGAATATTTTGATACAAATATCAATAAATTTGATACTCATCCCTCTCATCTGACCATGGAAGTTTTCCATTCCAAGCCTATTTTTAAAGGCAAATTTAAATCAGGCACAAGGTCGGATCACTAAAAAGAATTTGTCCTTTGACCCCCAGGTTCTCATTAAAATGTGGCACTTGTATGCATACTCTCGCCATCAGTTATACATAGCAAATGACCCTCTGCTAACTCACTTTTCAATGCACAGATAGAGCTTTCTCTGTCTAGCCTCTCCCAGTCTCTAATGACGAGATGCTTCAGCCTTTGAATATCTGCAATTTGTTCAAATAACCGCTCTTTGTCCGTCTCTAACTGAGCAAGCCTCTTTTCCACAGTAGTATCTAGGTCATATGACAAAAGTCTGCCTCCCGGGATAATTGTATTGAGGCCGACAAGATAGTTGGTGGGTCTTTGAATGCGAGGATAAGATGGCCCAGGTAAGCTGTTTTGCCGATAGATATGTTGCCGATCAGAGTCAACACTCGGTCCAGTCGGGATGTGACCATGGCGCGGCCCTGTGGGAGGAGTTGCTTGCAAGATTGACACGGGTCCACGACGAGTAGAACGAGCAAAATCCTTCAGATTCAAATTTCCGCGAGGGCGAGTCGGGGCAGAAAGTAGGGATACCACGGGGCCCCGATTGTTGAACGACGGCTTAGGCCCGGCAGATAGGTCAGGTGATGCAGTCTGGCCATACGGTGTACAGAAGGCTCTCGGTCCACTTTGAGCAGTAGCGCCGGAAACCGCATTCGCAGACTCCGGATTATTCTGGTGGTCTGTCCGACGGCCCAACCTGGAGTCCGAGACACCACTATCATCTGACAGTGCAGCGATTTGTGAAGTTGGCGGCATATCCCTTGCCACTTCTTGACTTTTGTGTTCATTTGACGAGATTGTTTCAACTTGGCGAGATGAGGAATGATCTGAAGATATGGACAGGTGGCGCTGCGGAAAGTCTCGAGTCGCTGGTGACGACCCACCCCTAAATTCGTGCACCGTTGCACTGGCCCCGTCATTTAAGGGGGATGAACGTCTTGAGTCCGAAAGAGAGCTAGAGGTTGAATTGTGAATAGTTGAAGCAGCCCTAGTCGAAGGCGAAGGCCGCGCCTGGCTTGTGTTGTTCTCTGGACGACGATCTCGGAACTCTTGCGAAGAACTCCGTGGACGATAGCTTGTCGTCAGGAGAGAAATATCACTGTCCCGAGCTGGACCGCGCCTCAGAGGAGAAGCAGATTTTTTGTAGCGATCGACAGTCGATGGGTAGCGCTCTCGTTTCACGGATGTAAAGTCTTGCCTTGGAGGGCTTTGATCTCGCCGTCTAGGGGTAGACCGACCGCGAGAGCTATTACGAGGGCGGTTGTCTCCATATGGTGAACGTGGACGCCACCCAATTTGAGGTGATCGAAGGCGTGCATCTCGTCTGGGCGAGAATCTCCTTGGGGCACTGTTTGCAAACAGCCCAGGATCGGAGTCTCTGTGCCGGTAAGGAGGACTTCGAGAATGACGTCTGAAAGGCAATGGTGAACGACTCCTTAAACGACCATAATGTCGACTAGAGGAGGGCACCCATGTATCAGCGACAAGCCGAGGTGAACGAGTTCGTGTTGGGGATGTGTGGCGACTATAGCCTCGAGGAGCTGGCGGTCTATAGCTCTCTCTACTACGATGATCTTCGAACCTAGCATGATAGAGCCCATTAGGCAAAGAGTTATCTTGGGTAATGAGGGAGGAAATATCAACAAATACGCTACCTTCTATTGCGTTCCCAGTCCATCTTGCTCGAAGCTGCACGATGCTTAATGTAATGTTGCTATGACAGTGTGCAACAGCTGTCATCAGCTTAATGTGTAATAAATTTCTTCTAAGAATGACAATAGATTCAACAATCTCTTTAAAAAGGTGACGTGATGGGTGTTCGGTTTGAGAGAGGAATCTGTATCTTTATGAAATGCAAGCCATTACGTTAGCTACGAGAAATACTAAAGATCACGTGCCGTTGAGCTTTCTATCACCAATCAAAACACATTTGAATTCTAGGAAGGCAG